CACCTGAACTCTGCTCTGGTCCCTTCCTGGGTACCTTTGTGCCCTCCAGGGCCATCCCTTTGACCTGCAGCAGGCTCTGCTTCTCTCTTGGAACTCTGGATCTTTCTTTGGATGTTTTGGTGATTCTTGGTGCTCTGGTGCCCTGTTTGAATGAGAAATGTCCTACCCCAGTTACAGACAGTACAATTCACCAGCTGGCCAGGGGGATGGTTTTACACAGCACAATATTTATTTGTCAGTCAATGGGAGAAATCAAAGTCTTTAAATCACACACAGCACTGGCACTGCCTTTGTCCACAGACAGGATTACGGTCAATAATCAACTGAGCTCTTTGCTCAATGGAATAATCTCCACAGTGAATGGCAGTTCCCAAGTATCTAACCCTAGTTATAAGGTTATAGGTGCTTAAAGTGAAACCAATCCACCATAAAATACACAGACATATAAGGACACAGTTCATTTACAAAGATGTTTATAAATACATTGGTCTGGTCTGCATGACCAAACCACTCAAACAAAGCTCTGGCACAGTTTTTAGTTTTTAAAATCTAAGACTTTCTGTGCTGGAACAGCACTGGGAGTTCAGGCTCCCCCTCTAGGTTTCTGTAGTTAGTTCCATGGTGCTGCTTCCCCAAGGCAGCTCACAGTTCTCCAGCTGGCTGCATCAGTTAACAACTTTCTGCTGAGAAATGCTGTTAGTATATTTTCTACTTGGCTATACCAATAAAACAAGGGAAAATAAAGTCATCAGCATTACCCAAGACAGGGCAACATTTGCTAGTTGAACTTGAGCAATCTTTAGTACCAGTTATTGCAGTTCCATTTACTGCTGTCACACATCATGTTGGAGTCCATAATACTTATGCTTTAAAAACAAGTGATTCCTCTTTGTTCCTATTCCTGTCACAGTCAATTGGCTCCTCCTGACTTGCTTGGAAGCTCAGGACCAGGATGCAGAGGAAGGCAGTGGATGAGGGAGAGAATGTGCAGCACTGAGAGTGACGTCTGGGACAGTGAGGATCCTCTGCTCTGTTAACAATGATTGCTGCAAGTGCAGCTCTGAGGAGAGATTCTTGATGATTGAATGCTCAGGACAGAAATGGAGCATCCATCAACACTTGAGTCAAGTGAAATTGTGAGAAAGAAATGAGAAGGAGAAATCAAGGCACAAGTATTATTGTTCACTTTTGATTCTGAAGCAGTGTCATTGCTCAGAGAGCTCCCACCTGCTAATGAAGAACCCTCTTATGCCAAGCATTTCAGACTGGAAGGAAAAATTGAGTGCTTAACTCTGATCAGGATGTCAGGAGTAGACAATTGCTACTACAAAAAGTGATGGCAATCTCCTTTTTTTTGCCTGTCTAATACATACTGCCCAAGTGCTTCCATGGAGAGACAGCAGAGAGACCATCCATCAGCATCACATTATCTGAACCAGAATTCATTTCATGGCTGCTTTAAAACCACTTGGAACATGACACTGAGACCACCTCTGCTGTAAAAGTAAGCACACCTGGGGGATGGGATGGGATGGGATGGGAGCCACTCAGGCCAAGCTCACACATGGGAATCTCAGCTGGGCCTGATTCAAACTTTAAATACTGTCTGAGATATTTGCCAATGAGAGTAATCTGAACTGCTATCCTAGTATTAATAAATTAGAGTAAATTGTGAATGCCATGTGCTTCTGAAATGCTTTAAACATGGGCCCTGAAGCTGTAAAAGCGTATTTAAATTCAAGGAAGATGGTGATAGAGATTTGTGTTCCAAACCCAGGGAAATTCAGTTGATGGCCCAGCCTCTGGCAGGTGTGACACCAGCATTTGTTACAACACTGTTAGGAAATTACTTTCTGACAGGAGTGGATGGTTTTCAGTACAGGCATTGGGATCCCCAGGAAAAGTGAAGTTCCTGGATCAGATTTGCTCTCAGTGTAGCCAGGTGCAATGAGGACAGTGAATCACTTTGTTACTCGGGGGTCTCAGGGGTGAGAGCAGCAGCTCCATCCCCTCCCCTTGGCCAGAGCCCAGCCCCTCTGAGCATGCACAGCCCCAGTGCCACTGACTGCAAGCTACTGCTCTTAACTCGATGAAATGCCTCTTGTGCTGGGCACACAGATGAAGAGTATCAGCAATAAAGGCAGCCCAGTGAGCTGGGTGGAAGTTCACAGGAATAGTCAATGCTGAGATACTCTCAGCAGTCTGATCATTGGCCTTTTTTAGTATTTAGCTGTCTCCTGGTTTCTTTTCTATGATGTTAAGGTTTGTGTAATCAATTCCAAATGCATGATATTTGATTTAATTAGAAAAAACCCCTAAATGATGCCAAAGCTAATCCATACCTATCACTCAGATACTTGATTACCATGTCATTGATTCTGCCATCCTTACCCTTGTGATGGGGCTGCCTTTATGATTTCTAAGGGCTCAGACACAAAGGGATTTCACCGAGGTCTTTTCCCTCAGTGTGGATCTGGGGCACTTCACAAACCTGAGCATCTGCAGGAGCTGCTGGGGCTCTTGTGGCAGAGCTCCTGTGATGAGCAGGGTGGTGCAGGCACTCTGAACTAATGCTGCAACAGGAGAGCTGTGCCCAAACCCTTTAGGAACTGGATGCCCGTGGAAAGCAGTGTTTCCTCTGCAAGAGAACTTCACAGCCTTAAGGTGAGTTCCATCCCAGCTGAGTCATCAAAGAGCTCACTGAAATGTGAATGTGAATTCTTTTTGCTTAAGTGGGGCATTCATAAATTGCTACAGTTGGAGAATACTTTACAAGGGACCTTATGTACAAGTGTTAGAAAGAGGGGTTTTGAAACCCAGAAGAAATAGGGGGGGTTTAGCAGTACAAGTAATTAATTATATTAAATTTGAACACGAGGAAGCATGGTGAATTTTTGGACTAAAGTGTTCTAAGTATTGTGTTTAAACAGGTCAATGTTAACTGATTATTTATGTTGCCACTATCATGGATGAAGAAGTTTGGCTACTTTTTTATGGCCACACTGGAAAGTGGTTTTTAAAATGTTTTAGTTTAAAAAAAGTTGTGTTCAGTATTATCCCTTTAGGCTTCTCTGCACTCTGTTACAAAAGAAAATGTTTTCAAATACAGAAATTGTGTTTCTGTGAACAGAAATGACCACATCTGCTTGAGTGTGCCCTCTTGCTAGTGCAGAAATATGGGGGAAAATATTGCTGAAATTTAAATGCAAACTTAATTTTCTACTGAAAGAGAAATCTGAATAAGTAGCTAGAATAAAATTGATTCTGAATTCATACTGGGTTGTTTTGGTAATGGAGATTCTAAAAGGTCTGTTGTGAGGAGCAGTGATGATGGTAAGAGAGAAAACAATGAATCTTTACTGGTGCTTTGGAGAATGCAATGCTTTTAGGAGAAATGCTAAATATATATTTCATCTTGAACAACATCATTCTGAGTGAAACATCTAGTACATCAAATGGGTTCTGTTTTAGTGTTCATAAAAAAAATCCAGCTCTTAGCTTTTCCCTTGTTAAAATACAATTTCTGGGCTGAACTGGTACTGAGCCAAAGCAAACTGCATGAGGGGGCTGAAAGGAAGGTGGTGGAGTCTTAGGGTAACTTCCAGGGCCTTCCTTACAGTGTGAACTGCCTCTAATCTGCAGATTGGTGTAGGGCTGGAAAATAAAAATGCCAGAAAACAGTGTGTGAAAGGATGCTGAAATTAGGAATAGCAGAGTGTTCAGGGTTTACCTGGGGGAAGACAGGTGTTTAGGAAGGACAACCCCATCAGTGGCTGAAAGGGAAACATTTTTACTGGAGTTAAGGTAGCATGCCAGTGACTTCAAAACTGGATTAAAAAAGTAAGATGTTAATACTGTTTGTAATTTATTATGATTGATCTTTAGGGCTGTTGGAAGTGGTTTTACCAGCATTAATACTATCATAAAGTACCTGTTAAGACTGTGCCTATGGGAGCATAATCCTGGTTTTGCTGAACTAAATGGCAAAGACCTCCTCTAAACCTGGTGGTGACATGACCAAGACCTGCAGAAAGAGGCCGTCTGCAGCAAAATACAGAATTTTGGAAGCTGCAATTAGATTGTTTTATATATCCACATGGGGATTATTTAACTTCAGAGACCCCTTAGATGCATCTGTTTGCAGGTTTGAAAGGGCAATATTTTCATATTCCTCTTGTGATGCTGAGCACCTGCAGTGGTGAGCTAGCACTACCAAATCCTTCTGGAAGTTCCTGTTCAGAAATCCATAAAAGATGGGATTGATACATGTCGAGATCATGGCCACAAGGTGGCAGATTGTAAATGCCAGGTTGTGATTACAGCTCATTAGTGCCTCGTAGTTCCAGTCAAAAACCACATTGAATATATTGAGAGGCAGCCAGCAAGCTGCAAAGGTCACCACGATTGACACCAACATCATATTGATCCTTTTGTTTTCACTCAGCCTGTTCTCATTCTCTCTCATCCTGTCTATTTTACCCCTTCTCCTTCGAAGACACACGAATATCCTGAGATAGCAGATAAAAATAAAGCCCAGTGGGAAGCAGTACTGGAAAACCAGCAGGCTGGTGGTGAAAATCAGCCTCTCTGTAAGAGATGGCCATGCCTCGATGCAAGCCACCTTGTTCTTGTAGAAATCACTGTGGAAGGACAAATGTTTGAAGGGCTCGTCTGTTATTTGGTGGAATACTAAAAAAGGAGTGGATATGATGAGGGAAAGCCCCCAGATGAAAAGAATTCCCCAATAAGCATGTGAAATATTGGGCTTCCAGCCACGGGGGTTCACAATTAACTGATATCTCTCAATAGCAATGAGTACAAGTGAGAAAATGGAGACTGAGACAGACAGGCTTTGTATGAAAGAGCCAATTTTACACATTGCCTCCCCAAATATCCAGTGGTCCATTAAGGTGTATGCCACTGTGACAGGAATGCACATGATACAGATCAGGACATCTGATAAAGAGAGGTTGGCAATCAAAATGTTGGTGACATTTTGAGCTTCTTTCCGTCTCTTTATTATAATAATTAAGCAAAGATTTCCAACGAGCCCCACCAGTGTAACCAGTGTGTAAGCTGTAATCAGCAAGAACTCTGCAAGGGAGGAAAGGTGGCATGTATCAAAGTTCAAGAACTGAGAGAGGCTAATGTTAGAGATAGTTTGGTTCAGGATCTCGCTGGGGTGCTGAACAGCTTTATCCATCCTGAAGCATCTTCCAACCTATGGACAAAACCTTGCATTATTTAGAATGTAATGTATTTAAATTTTAAATGTATTTAAAATCACCTTTGCATGGAGATTTTCAAGCAGTGAATACTGTGGGTTTATCATTTTAGTCAGCGTCCATAAAGTTTGGAGCAAATCTAACATGATTAATTAGAGCACTGGAAAAGCAGATGGTTATCAGTGGGTTATGTATCCCTGTGGAAGGAGGTTGGTGTCACCTCTCTGAGGTTCTGCACTCTCAGTGCTACAGATCTATAACTGATGCACAAGAAACAGCTGTGATGGCAGCTCTGACTGAACTTGTACACTCTCCCACAAATCCTCTTTTACCAGCTGAGGATGAAGTTTGCTTTTCAGAATAAAGTATTCTAAGATCTGTCCGTGCTGAAGATTTAAGAAGGTTTAATGGATTCCAATGAGGATAATCTGTTGCTTTTGTATTACCAGAAAAGAAGAATTGGGTCCTGCCATCACTCTGCTAGCTTAGACATCACACTTAGATTTTCTTTAGAACTACAAAGCACTGTGAGTTAATACACTCAATCCTCCTGAATTAATCAAAGTTATGTGTGCTTGAGATCAAATGGCATTCAAAACCTCTATGAATGATAGCTAAAAGGGAGTTTCCTGTTCTACTGATGCATTGAAGATAGTATGTCCTTTTTCCTAGATCTGACCTGAGAAAAATGTAAACAAAATAAAGCTCACATTGCAGTTATACAGAAAATAACTCCTCTTTCAGCTCTAACTTAAACAGGAGTCAAGCAAAAAAATCTGGGATTAGAACAGTTCTGTGGTTTTAAAACTTATATTAATGGGAAGAGTTATGTTCAACATAACATCTTGATGGGTTTAAATTTATCACTGAGTGCAAAACTTAATTTAAAGGCTCACCAGCTTTCTGGCCAGAAAGAGGTTGTTTCCAACCTGGGAAAGGAAAAGCTAGGCCTGAAAAGAGCTATTTTAAAATTTAAAAATGGATAATTGATGTATGTTCTACACATATATCTTTCAAAACTCAAGTTTATCTCACCTTAATTCCTCTGTGAAATTACTGGAAAACTAGCTGGAAGGAAATCATTCTTCTCCCCTAGTAATGGTGTTGAGAGCCTGTGGAGAAAGGAGAACGAAGAAGCAGTGGGAAGTTAGAGGATACACAAAAAGAAGGAGGGATGGGTGGATGTTTTATTATTCTAGAAAAAATCTGCAGATTTGTCAGTCCTTTCACAGAAATGGTTGCCATTATTTAATCACTAAGGATTTTTAAAAGTTTGGTTGCCTGTGCAAAATTAAGCACTTAATCCAGGGTTAAATTGGAATTATGATTCCATACTTGTTTTCCCACAGACACTCAAAGAATATTCCAGCCAGAGTTATGTCCTGGACTGCTTTATCCTGATATTTCTGTTTGACATAAGTTGGGGTGCTTCAAATTAGGATCCTAAAAAATATCCAAAAAACACCATGCTCCCCTTTGGAGCATCTACTACCACTGTCATTCTGATTAAAATACCCTTTTCAGTCAGCTTACTCAGGTGGGAAGTGGCTGCAGATAAATGTGACTGTGTGTGGCCCTGATGTCCCAAAAATGACTTGAATTGTGGTCAGGGCTAGCACTAAGCCCTGTAGTCTCCCTAGAGAATATACCTGGCTTGGTTAAAGCTGTATTGGGGTATAGGAATGTGCTCTCTGTTGACAGAGTGACAAAAGTGTCTTTTGTCTCCTTAAAAAGGAAAAAAGCTCAGAAGTAAAAAGACACCTCATAGGACTTTGGGGAGTTCACTTCAAACTTAAGGTTAGCCAATTGGACAGGAGCTAAAAAGTCTCACCAAGCAATTTACTAGAAAAAGAAGAAAACAAAGAAACTAATCACTTTTGTGAGGCGTTTTACCAGGAGCAAGAACCTCTTGCACCTGGCTCAGTTTTTTTCTGTAGAGTTTTGTTATTTTGCCTTTTACTAAAACTTGTCTGTTTCCAACACTTCCACATAAGCCATCCTGCTGATTTCATGCCTTCTAAGGTAGCTGAGCTATCTCAGGTGTGATATAAATCTCCAAGAGCTTATAAGACCTGTCTTGAGGAGACTTTTTATCATTGGGGAATGACATGGAAAACTGTACAATCCTGCTGCAAACACTATGGGTGTCTGGAGGCTCTGATAGATTCTGCATTCCCTTGCAGGTGTCCCTATGTCAGTAGGGCCAGAACAAGAGCTGGGTTCTGCACAGTGTGCCCACCATGCTCCACAAACTGCTCTGCTCCTGAGGCCAGGAGAGAGGCCAGGGACTGTGACTGACTGCCACATGGTGTGACTGGGTATATATATATACACACATATGTAGGTATGTGTATATATGAAATACAAATATATGGAATACATGAAAAGCAGCCCTTTGAGGAGGGCACTGTCGCCACCTTTCCCCGGGGCAGCACTGGCTGCCTGCCTGGGTTTCTCACACCCAAGGCTGTTTGTGCTGGAAGGACAGAGGCGCTCAATGGCAGATTGGCAGCTGTTCCCCAATGGGATTTGCTGCCACTTCAGAAGTGTGAGGATCTAAAGCCTGGCTGCTTTACCCCAGGGGTGATCTGTGTCTGCAGTGCCTGTGGTGTCCACCTGGCTGGCACAGACCTGATCCTTCAAAGACAAACTCTGCTCTTCCCTGCTTTTTATGTGAGCAGGAAAAGCTGTGGGGGACTCAAAAGGCCACGAGGCTGAGCCAAGTTTGTAATATTTTATGCACTATTTGCTAGGCTTGTTTATTTCTCCATGGATGCACAACACAGTTTGACAGCAAATTCTGAGTGTCCTCTCCCAAGAATTCAGGATGGTAGAGCTTCTCTGGCATTTGGGAAAAGTCTGCTGACCTAACCAGTTCACTTGCTACATCAGTTTGAGGCACACTCTCCCTCTACACTGTCCTTTTCTCAGGAAAATGTGCAATTTCTTTTCATTCTTTGGTTTGTGCTGGGAGTTAAAGAGTGCAGTATTTAGTACACACCATTCTGTGAGGCAATTTAAACATTTCCTTGGCAATAAAACAAATCCACCTGTCTTGGTAAGCATCTCATAGCATTAAAAAATAAGTTACTCTAATATTTACTACAGCATGTTGAACTATATTGTAATACATACTGGCATTTTTTAATCTAATAAATAAATGTTATTGGAATCAGCATCCTTGGATCACAGCTACAGCTGATACCAGAATTGAATTGTTTAACAAAAAGAACTAATTGCTTCAAGCCCTAATCCATGCATTTTGGAAAAGATCCTCTACCACAGTAAGAGTTTAACTCTGTAAGATATTATAAACCCCCAGTCTTGTTTCACTCCTCTATCTGCAGAAACATTACTGAAATGTTCATAAGCAAAAGAAAGGTTTAAAATAAAATGAGTTTTAGAAAGGCTTTCTTCCCTAAGTATTTTCTTACCTGTGCTAAAGATGAACAGTCCCATCCTTTCAAGGTGACCAACAAATGTTTCAATTACAAACCTTAAGTTCCTAAGTATTGCACAGATAAAATGCGGAGGAAAATTTACATTCAATTTTAAATATAGGTTATAGAGAATAAATTAATGCTTTATAAGATATTTCAGTAACTTTTGCCATAGTTCTATTGATTTTCTGACTTCTTACCTGATGAAAAATTCAAGTCATATCCACACTGCTTTAACAATTTTTCTTTTCCCTCAGAGCCAGCAAACACATCTTCTTTCTGTATGAAAGAGTCCAGAGCAAAGCCATGTCTCCTAAAGCCACACTCAAACTCTCCTTTCTTCTGTGTGTATCAAAGCTCAGATCCCCACTTTGCAGCAGTGCTGAGGCTGCCAGGCTGTGGGAAGGCAGCTGAGGAATAAAACGAGCTCTGGAATCCAAGAGGAGACGAACAGCAGTGAGCAGGGAGGAGGAAGGACCAGTAGTCATGGGGATGGATTTTCCTCCACTGTGCTGCTTCCCTCCACCCTGTCAAACACCTTATCATGCAATTTCATTTTCAATTATTTAATCTGTTCTGTAGTTCAAATGTTTTCCCTCTGCAGGGTTTCATACATAAACATCTGCAGATGGCATATTGCTTTCTTAACTGATACAGCAATACAATGAGCTGCTTGGAAGGAGCATGCACGTCCCATTAAGTGTATCATTTGCTTTATTGCAATTAAGATAATCAGATTTTCATTATAAATTGATATTTTAGCTTACACTCCTCAGATAAAACCAGTATTCCTGAAAAGCAAGGCATGGCACACTGCACTAGCACATGGTGAAAAGGGGCTTTATTTTTCTTAGTGTTTTTTTCAGTAAGAGTCCATATGTTTTGTAGACATGTTTATAAAATAAGCATTCAGCTTACTCACTCAATATTTAGAATGAACATTTATGGAGTGGGAAAGGAACTGCTTTTCTTAGGATTTGAAATCTGGTAAGTTGCTGTATAAACTTGCATTTTTACCTGGGTCCACTTAACTTTCAGTATTTCAGTCTTTTTTTTTTTTAAGAGAATGGCTTTTCAAAAAGCAGTAGGATTTTTGGGATCAGCAATACCGATGCTGTATTGAAGTGCAATTCAGAACTAATTATCTAAAAATATAGTTGGTTGTCATTCTATATTATTTGAATAAAATAGCTGCAGGGGGAAAAGAGCCTTTGTGACCCTGTGACCAGATGAACATCCTGCTTTTCACGTGTTTGAGTCTATTCCTGATGTGTTTGTCCAGATTGTTTTTTAACCATCTGCGGAGATCTTGGATTCGAGTGCCTAATTGACTGCTAGGAAGACTGCCTTAACACCTCTCCATAAAACTTCCTTCTCTGTAGTTTAACCAGTGCTTTTTATTCTAGGTGTGGTTTGGGAATTCTGATATTTTAAACAAAAATGCTGCAATCAAGCAATTGGAATATATTTTTTCTAAAGCATTTCTAGAGCTTGCTGGGTTTGATTATGTCAGTATTACTATAAAAACAAAGCTTTGCCAAACAATTTTAGAAATTCTGCTTCTGGTTTTAGTGTAACCCCAGGAAGTTAATCAGGACCTGAACATGCAATGTGATAGATAAGCATCAGAACAGGCCATAAAAATGGATATCTACTTATGAAGCAAATAAGTCAATAAAATTAAAAGATGTTCTGATTCTATCTCCAAATTTCAAAGGTCATTTTGCTTATTTACACATGCCTCTGTTTCTAATATAATTCTGCATGCAGTCCTTCATTTGTGGAAAAAGTGGGGTCTTTAACATATGATCCATTGGTTTTTACAGTTGTATCAGCCTGCTGCCTCATGTGGACTTTATTGTGCTGTAAGCTGTTGTGAATTAGATCATATCCAGCATCAGAGGCTTGTGGGTGTAGCTGCTCCTGGTGTGTTTAATCCTGATGTCAAAGGTATGTGTGCTGAGTGGGACCCATGGCTCTGGAGGAGGGATCACAATGTGTTTTTTCAGCCAAATGCTGGAGTGTCTGTTTGCAAAAAAGGTTAATGGGTAGCAGAATTGTATTTACTTTTTATCAATGGTCTTGTCATTTCTAAATTGCTCAGTATTAAATGACAGGTGAAGTGCCATAATAGGTTTTTAAGTTTAAAGTTTGTAATAACTTGTGTAGCATTGGCAATAACCTGTTGGTGGAAAATAACATTTAACTCCTCAAATAACATTTAACTCCTAAGTTCACCCTTTGCTCTGGCATTTACATGATTCCTTGGCCAGCAGGAATCTTTGCTGATGGTTGATCACTCTCAATTTTTGCTTTTGCTTAGTTGTTTCTCCTATGTACCTGTGCAGTCGTCCTTGTTTCTGCCTGTTGCATTCTCCTCCTTCAGAAAGCAAGATTTAGTAGAGATGTACATGTACAATTTCTCAGCTTCCCACATGAAGGAATTCTTTAACAGTAGATTGGCCAAGAGCTGGTGCAGACACCTGTAACATCTCTGAAGGGTCATGGAATCACAGACTGGTTTGGGTTGGAAGGGACCTTAAAAACCACCCAGTTCCAAGGGGCAGGGACACCTCCCACTAGATAAGGCTGTTCCAAGATCCATCCAACCTGGCCTGGGACACTTCCAGGGATGGAAGTCACATCCAGGACACTTCCAGGGATGGAGCAGCCACAGCTTCTCTGGGTGATTTCTTCCATTGACTCACCACTCCCACAGTCAAGAATTTCTTCCCAAATCCCACGTGACTCTGCCCTCTGACACTACAAAGCCATTCCCTCTTTCCCTGCCATTCCAGTCCCTTGTCCAAAGTCCCTCTCCAGCTCTCTTGGAGCCCCTTTAGGCACTGGAAGGACTCTCTGAGGTCTCCCTGGAGCCTTCCCTTATCAGGCTGAGCACTCCCAGCTTCCCCGGGCTGGCTCCAGAGCAGAGCTGCTCCAGCCCTTGGACGCAGCACTGCAGGTGGGGTCTCACAAGGGTGCAGCAGGGAGGGAGAGCCCCCTCCATCATCCTGCTGGTCACACTGCTCCTGACACCGCCCAGGACAAGGTCAGATTTTTCAAATGCACTTTGCTGGCTCGTGTTGAACTTCTTATCAATCAACACCTGCAAATCTCTCTCCTGGATTATTGCTTCCTAATAAATACTGTTCTTCATAGCACTTCAAAGAGGCATAGAAAAGTAAATAAGAATAATTGGAAATCTCATATGTTAGTGTTGGATGTGCTGGTTAATGCCATAAAAGTAAGATAATAAGCTGTGATGGAGGAAAAACACACTCCCCTCACATTTTCCTGTTCTGAGGAGAGATCAACACCCCAGTAAGGGATTCTCAGTAAATAGCTCATAATGTGACCAAACTAGCAACAGCTAAGTATGCACTGGGAGTTTTTCTCCATGGATGTACATGTGTAAGTCGAAGCCCTGCTCCATGACTCAGAGGTTTTTTTCTAATTGGAAATAATTTTCACAAAAATAATTCATGTTCACTACCTGGAGTTTAGGTTTCACTTCATTATACTGCATAGCTCTAAGGGACACCTTTGCAATATCCTTGATGCCTGATCTCAATTTTGATTCTCAATTAGCTCATGACTAGAATGAAAAGTCAACTGTTTAAAAATCTGATATAACTATAAATGAGTTACTTATAATAACATATTAATTTTAAAAATTGTGTCATGCCATGAACTGTTGGCTAATTTCTGGACCTTATTCAGTTGGCATAGAGCTGAGATGGAGATGAATAAACTCACTGGCTGGAAGGTTAGCATCTTAATTTTTTGGGTCAGCCAAGTTACTTTTCTCACTGAAAAAGAGATAAGATATATGAGTAATTGTAATAGGAGTGTGACTGCATAAATCCATATTTTATAATAGGTTCCGTATTCCAAACCCTGATTCAATTCTTTGTAGTTTTCTAGAACTTCTCCAAATCACTTTTACCAAAAATCATCTCTGCCAAAAAATTAATTATTTCAATAGCTCACAGATTTGGGGGGAATGTGACAATTTGTATCTCTGGTTTGTTTCTTTCCCATTCTAGAGTCCTTTCATAACACCACTGTGAGCACAGAACCCTGCTGTTCTCATGGCATGACATCTTGCAGGGTCCTAATTGTTAATTAAGAAATACTTAAATAATCAAAAGATTTTTCTCATTAATCTCAGTTTCCGTTTTCCAGCATGTTTCAAACTGTAACAAACATTTTGATTTTCTGGGTAAAAATCAGAAATTCTAGATTGCTATTTCTTGTCTAGAAAGTCTTACTTTACACCACCTCATTTAAGATTTCTTGAATAGCATGGATGTCTTTTAGCTAATTTCAGGCAGGTACTTACTGAGCTTCAGAGCTCAGCTCTTCCTGCTGTGCTCGAACAAAATTCAACATCAGTCATGCAAAAACACCACAAACCCACCCCACAGAGGTTCTGTGGAATGAGAAAGAGTTGGAGTCTAGGAATAGCTAAGAGGAAAAAAATAAAAGCAAGTAGATTTTAATTTAATTGGAAAATACATAATGAAAAATTTGCAGGTGAAAAAGATCAGAGTGTGGCTGAGATTGATGCTGGCTCCAGGTCTTCCTTTGGCAAAACTTAGGATTGGATTCTGGTCTGTCTCAGACTAAGATACAGTGAAAATTCTCCCCTCTCACATCTGTCATAGCATCACTACATTCTTTGATCCTTCACAAGAATCTTGACTTTTGAGACCGTATTTTGCTGCCTTGCTTTCATCCCATCACTTCAAATTATGGCCAGCTTTTATACACAATTTTAGGAAAGAGAAGAAAGGAAATAATGAATTATTAAAGAAGAGGGAAAAGATGAAAGAGGAAAAGAGAAATTGAACTTCAGAGGGAAGAGGAGGGAGGGCAGGGTTTAAGGAAGAATGGTAACTTAAATCCAAAGAAAAGGATGCAAATTCAATTCTCTGATGACTTTCCACTTCACCCTTCACAAAGGTGAGTTTCTTTCTTTGGCAAACTCCCCTTAAAAAGGGCTCCAGGAAGATTTTGTTTAACAGATAAACTTTGATACTACTTACTGAAGAAATAGTACCTGTGGGTTATCCTGTTACCTTTTTATCTGTAGTTTATCTTCTTTTGCATTAAGCAAATACAAGAGAGGGGTAGTGTTTTATTCCCTATCTGAATTTACACAAGGCAGAGATTTTTATCCTGAGGAGTGTCATGTTCAGATTTTAGGGGGGTGAAAGTCTGTCTAGTTGCCCCTCAGTATTTTTTAATCTTTTTCAACAAAAACCCCTCTGCTGATCACTACTAATTCATCAAAGTCTCCAAAGTAAGATGACATTTAATGTTTATGCAGATGAAAGTGCAAACAGCAGAACAGAATGAAAGAGAAACTTTTGCCAAAAAGGCAAGAGCTCTCTCAAGGACAGCTGTGCATCTTTCAGAAGTGTTTGCACCTGTAGCTAAAGCAAAGTGCCAGGCTGGGAATGCTCACGGTGCTGCTGCATTTTTACAATGCTCCCTATGAACCACACAATTACACTCTGCCTGAGGTGTTGGTTTGGTTAGGACTCAGCCTTCCAAAAGTCTAATAATTATCTCATTGAAATGATGAAAATAAAAATCTTTGCTTCTGTGTGTATCTCAGAGTGATGTGGGAAATTATGGTTGAATTCCTTGTATTCCCAACTGTTCCCACCTATATACAGTTAGAAAAATCTGGGTGAAACATTTGTGTAGCTAAGGTGATATTATTACAGTTTTCAATGTAAATGCAGAACTAATTCAGCAAACAGTCTGCATGAAACTTCAAAATGCTTTCTGTCTGCTGAAAGGTCAAGCTAAACCTAAGTCTAGAGCCTTGTACTATACTAAAAAAAATATTTAAACTCATTAAAAATTCAGGTGATATACATAAATTGCTTAAAAAATAATCAATGCCTGCCAAGAGTAGAAGCCAGAGATGTAACTAAAGATGTTGAAGCCAGTTAAAGAGATATGACTTTGTGTTTATATGAGGGTTTAGATATTTATAGCTTATGAACTACTTCTGACTTCATTATGTTTTTCTGTTGCCCTTTATGCTATTTTCCAAAACTTAATTATTCTTTTTCCATCCTGGCAGTTTGGACCCACTAATAGAGTGAAAAAGTTATGTTTCTTGAATGACAAAAATTGATACAAAGAATTCCTTAATAGTTTATTCTGCATCAGCTTTTACTGAGAATATTTGGTAACACAGGAAATTATGTTGGAAAGCTCAGCTCTCTCTCTAGTTTTCAATCTCTTAAGCAGCAATGCCCTCCTGTGGACTCTGGGTAAAATAAGTTCTTCTGAATAACTGGAAAGGTGTATGCATGAACATGATTTGGTTTTCCTTCTTCCTAACACATTAATTAAAATGTCCCATGAAGACATTTTATTTGATTGGCATTATTTGGCCAATGCTTCTGGTTTGAGAAACACATTTCCTCTAGGTAATGATACAGGTGGAGGTGGAGCTTTTATCTGAAAAAGCACCTAACTTTAGAAGTTTCAGCTGCTGATTTTTTTTTTATTCTATGGGTTGCTATCAGAATTGAAAAAATGTCATGCTGCAACTGCCTTGTCAGAAAGTGAAAAGTATGTATTTCTTTGGCATGACACTTTCCTATGGATTTTTATATCCATAGGCTGATATTATGCATTTACTAGTTTAGAGCAAAAAGCAGTTTATAAATTCTGTGGGAAGCTGCTGTGGCTGCTGTAGTGTTTCTGGTTTACATCTCACACACATTGAGGCTCATCTTTGCTTCTGCACTCACTGTGGCAGCACCTGGGTCTTGTTGGCTCGTGTAGTTTGAAGGATGTCTGGGTTTTGGAAGGACAGGAGTCTGCTAAGTAAGGCGGGAGCCTGTCCTGAAATGGAAAATGTAAATCTCCCCCCTCCAAATTGTTAAAAATTTGAAATGAAGGGTCTCTCAGGCAAAAAGTATGGGAGCAGGAAATAACAGTTCTTTAATATGGAAGAAAATAAAAAGATAAACAATGCAGTAAGCCAAAGCAACAACTGACAGAGTCAGAACACAACCTGACACCCTGTGGGTCAGGGTGTTGGCAGCAGTCCCATTGGAATTGTGGCTCAGCCCTCCTGCAGTGTCAGGGTGGTTCTGCTGGAGCAGGGATCCTGTAGAAAGGTGCAGTCTCTTCCTCTGAAGCTCCAGGGGAAGAGGCAGCAGCTCTTCCTCTGGGAAATCCAGTGGGGAAGCTGTGCTGGTGTTCCAGAACCTCAGATTATATCTGGGGAGCAATGCTTGGCTCCACCCTCTGGGCTCACATCTCCCAGTGGGATGCTGTAGTTCATATCAGCCATGCAGTGACATTCAATAGCTGTTATCAGCAGATTTTGTGGAAGAGATAAGGAAAACTGCCCACTTAACAGAAGACAGCTGCCATCCAGATGGCAAATAGAATACAATTTGCTTGGCAATCCAGGACAAAGGAAAAGCACATTTCAGGAGCACAGAAAGGCACCCAGTTCCTGGGAATGTGTGCACCAAGTGATGACTGGCTGCCTCAGCAGGTGTGAATCCAGCAGAATTTGAGAGGTCTGGCTGGAGCCTCCAGGCAGCTGGGGTGACTGGAGAAGGGCAGGTCTGTGGGTGTGCAGGAGAAGCTGGTGTCCATCTGGCTGTTCTACCAGCCCCAGAGCCTGGGGGATGTGTCAGGGCACAGGGATGTGTGCAGGCTCTCAGCCCTGCCAGGGCAAGAACTGAACTTGGAGCAGGTTTGGAATGAAGGTGTGAATGAACATGAGCTCACTCTGGCAGCTGGGAAAGGCAGGGGCACAGCAGGACAGGAGGACACCAGGCCAAACACAGCCTGGCCTTTGTGCATTTCCAGAGGAGACGTTTCCATCTGCAGGACATGGATATGTATGTCTTAAAGGTGTTTTCCTTTCATTAACCAACCAGTTAAAAGTGTAAATGAAGAATTTGTGCTACATCTGAATTGAGCCAGTGGCTGATTTTTCCTGCTGATTTGCTCACATCTTAAAGAGCCTCATCTCCTGATGCAAGCTGTGACTGTTTTCTTTGATCTGTTCTTGGCCTACTTGTCCGTCTTGCTTTCAGGGAGAGAAAGTGCCTGAAAACAAGCTTTGTTTTCTTTGTTATCTCTTGAGGCCATAATTAGCTCCTCCTAATTTTTCATTCATTTTGCTCTAAATTACTATAGGTCTATAAAACTCTCATGGATTATTTTCCATGTGACACATACTGATTTATCTTGGGAAGGGCCATACAGCTCTCACAATAACTAGTACACAAAATAGTTTTGTATTTCCTGTAATTTTTGTGCAGCTTGCAGACAACCTCTGGGAAGATTTTTATTTAGTACAGTAGGATACGTTTGTTTATTTAAAACCCACAAATATTTCAGTGGCATTATGGGATATTCTCTTTTCTTAAGCTAGATAAAATGATGGTGCCAGTTTATGCATTGAGGTAAATGGATTTAAACAACTTTCCTTGTGACTGTCAAACAGAGTCATTTAACAGGTTACTTATGCTATACACATGGCTATAACATAAAAAAAATCCAATGTGAGTAAAATCAGATTACTGTATTGCAAGTACCAATGCTGCAGGCAATGATAATCATAGCCTGTGAGACAAAAAGCATGTTCAGCCTCTCTGGATTTCCTCTGGGGCTGTGGTTAACCAACCTTCCAGCACAGCCAATGTTCCTCTTGTGTCTGTGTCTCCAAGGGAGCATTTCCAATTGATTCCCATCAAGGGGATGCTACAGTTCTGCTTCCTCCCTCTGGCCAGCACCAGCAGGTCACATAAAAAAAATGTTTCAGAAAGCTGGAGCAGCTGAAAACCAAGTCCTTTGTGGTGATGAAACCATTCATGGCTGTCTCAGTTCTCTTAGGTGGATTGCTGTGTGTTTGCAGAAGCATCAAGGCTGGCACATGGGAAAAGGCAGGATCAGTTCAGGAAACTTGGACTATACATCCTGACAGTGCCTAATGCAAAACAGCAGCCATTCTTAGCTCCTGCTTAATTTTTAACATAAACCCTCGTGGCTGCAAGACCGAAAAAAAAATCTTTCTAATGAAAAATTCACTTGAGTTGAAAGTAATGCTGCAGTCTTCATGACAGCAATGTTTAATGCACTATAAAAGTAAGAGGGGAAAAAAAGGAAAATTATCTCACTATTTGTCATTCCACAGGGCTTGCACAGTCTTCAAAAGCTCTAATTGTTTTTCCGAGAATATGCCTCCTTTTCAGAGCTAAGGAGAGATCTAAGGGTGAGTAGGCTGTGATAGGGTTGGAAAGAGAAAGGGAAAGCAGGGGAGGAATCTGTAGCAGGAATAGTGAGTGAGAAGGAATCACAGAAAGGTTTAGGTTGGAAAAGCCCTTCAAGATCATCGAATTCCTCCAGCACTGCCAAAGCCACCCCTGCACGGTGACCCGAAGCGCTACATCCGCACTGCCTTTTAAATCCCTGCAGAGACGCGACTCCACCACCGCCCCGGGCAGCTGTGCCAGGGCTGGACAGCGCTTTCCGTGAAGAATTCTTCCCTGACACCCAACCTAAACCTTCTCTGGACACCCTGAGGCTGTTCCTGCCACCCTGTCCCCGTTAGGAGCGGGCTGCCAAGGGGAAGGGGGACACAAAGGAGGGAAGAGCCGCGGCTGCCAGGAGCAGACAGAAACAGGGCGGGGGGGTTAAACCCGGAGGAGAGCGGTCGGAGGGATGGGGAAGGCGAGGGGCGAGGTGTGGGCACCGGGGCGGCCCGGAGGATTAAATCCCGGGGAGGGCAGGGTGAGGTGCGGGCACAGGGGCGGAGGCGGAGCCCGGCCGGGACCGTGCCCAGCGGGTACCGGCAATGTCCGTGCCCACGGGGCGGTGTCCAGAGCCCGTGGCTGGGCTCCGCCTCACGGTGCCAGCCACGGCAACACGAGGCAGCGGCAGAAATGGATGCACAGAGTTTCAATGAACGTGAGGAACTTCTTTACAGCCCAGTGACGAGTCCTGGGACAGATGGGGTGTTGAGTCTGCCTCCCTGGACACCCCAGACCCGTCCGGACGGAACCCTGTCCATGTGCCGTGGGCTGGAGCTCGGAGCTCGGGCCAGCAGCGCCCCGGGGCTCTCGCCGCGCTCTGAGGGGAGGCCCCGAGCCCCTGGCGGGCTCCGCCATTGGGGGCGCGCGCGGGGGGCGCCCAACGGTCCCCGCCGTTCAAACGCTCCCGCGCGCCCCGCCCCCCGCTCGCTGCCCCGCCCTCCGGGGCGGGCCCAACCGGGAGGGAGCGCGCGCCGGGCCGGAGGCGGCGTCCCATTGGCTGCCGGCCGCGGGCCCGGCGCATTGACGCAGCACGCCCCGCCCCTCCGCCCGGCGCGCGCGGAACGCGTCCCCCGTCCCTAGTGGCTGCCCGACGCGTCCGTCGTCGGCGAACCCCGGGACTTTTGCGGAGGTTGCGCCCTTTCATTGGTTGTTGCACACGTCCATCGCGGATTAAGCCACGCCCCTTAAAGGTGAGTGGCGCGCTGACACGGCGCATCGCTCTCATTGGCTGCCTTGGCGGGGGAGGAAGGCGCGGGGGGCGGGGCTCCCGGCGGCCCCTTTGTGTGGGCACCAGTCGCCGGCCGCGCTCCCGAGAAGCCGCTGCCGCCATTTTGTGCGCGCCTGTGTTCGCGCCCACCCCCGCCCGCCTTTCCGGGGGAGCGGCGGCACCGGGGACGCCCCGACTGTGCTGCCGGTCAGGTGAGGCGGAGCGGAGGCGCCGGGCCGCGCCGAGGCAGCTACCGCCGGCGACCGCCGCAGCCGTGAGGTCGCGTTGCTCGCAGGAGGAAGAAGCGGCAAGACGGAGCAGGAGGGGAAAAAACCTCCGGAGCTGCCCCCGAACAGGAGGAGGAGTCTCGGCCCCAGGCCCAGGCGCGGCCCCGGAGGCAGCATGGAGAACTCGCAGCTGTGCAAGCTGTTCATCGGCGGGCTGAACGTGCAGACCACGGAGGCCGGGCTGCGGGAGCACTTCGCGGCCTACGGCACCCTCACCGACTGCGTGGTCGTGCTGAACCCGCAGACCAAGCGCTCCCGGTGCTTCGGCTTCGTCACCTACTCGGCGGTGGAGGAGGCGGACGCCGCCATGGCCGCGTCCCCCCACGCGGTGGACGGGAACGCGGTGGAGCTGAAGCGGGCCGTGTCCCGGGAGGACTCGGCCAAGCCCGGCGCTCACGCCAAGGTGAAGAAGCTCTTCGTGGGCGGCCTCAAAGGGGACGTGGGCGAAGGGGACCTGGTGCAGCACTTCAGCCAGTTCGGCCCCGTGGAGAAGGCCGAGATCATCGCCGACAAACAGAGCGGGAAAAAGCGCGGCTTCGGTTTCGTCTACTTCCAGAACCACGACGCCGCCGATAAGGCGGCCGTGGTCAAGTTCCACCCGATCCAGGGCCACCGAGTGGAGGTCAAGAAGGCCGTGCCCAAGGAGGACATCCAGGCGGGCGGGGGAGGCGGCGGCTCCTCCAGGCCCTCCCGGGGAGGCAGAGGAGGAAGGGGCCGGGGCGGCGGCGGCTCCGGCAACCGGGATCACAACGGGCTGTCCAAAGGAGGCGGCGGCTATAACAGCTACGGCGGCTACGGCGGGGGAGGAGGCGGCGGGTACGGCTCCTATGGCAGCGGTTCCTACGGAGGCGGCGGCGGAGGGGGAGGCGGAGACTACGGCAACGGGTACGGCGGGTTCGGCAGCTACAGCCAGCACCAGTCCTCCTACGGCCCCATGAAGAGCGGCGGAGGAGGTGGAGGAGGGGGCGGCAACTGGGGGGGCCGCAGTAACAGTGGACCGTACAGAGGAGGCTATGGCGGGGGAGGCTACGGGGGCGGCTCTTTCTGAGCTGGAGCGCCCATACCCATTGATGGGGGGGCGTGCAGAGCCCTCCCTTCGATACGGGGCAGCTTCCGAATGGTTTCTCCCCTCATTCGCCGAAGGGCAGCTCCTTTTAAATGCCTCCCTGCTGTGGGAGCGGCTCCTAAATGCCCCCTGAGGGTCGCCTCTGCTGCCTGTGCCACTTCGTTCTCTCTGAAGATGGACTGGGCCCCACATACACATATTTTGTGTTACAGTCATTGATGGACTCTATTTTTTTATTATTACTTGGACCTTGGTCGTTTTTATACTAGCAACGAAAAATGTCTTGTTTTAATTTGTTTTTTGGGGGGTGCGGGGTGGGAAGTGTCTTGCTGATCTGGAGTAAATACTGGGGAGGGTTGGGGGGGAAGTTCCTTTGTTGTAAGGACTCGATGCCTGGATACTACGTTTTTTTCTACAAAAGCTACTCGGATCCCATGACTGACTTTTAACATTTCTGTAAAGGAAGAAAAAATGGTTTTTACGTTTTTTATTTTTTAAATAAATCATTGTGTTCATTGACCTTTACACGTCTAATTTTTTTTCCTAGGATCAATTCCGTACGGTTTTAAGGCTTTTCTAGGTTTGAAGCAAGTGTTCCTCTGCTTTAAAATCTCTGTGTACTTAGAGTAGTAAATATTTTGTTGCCAGTAAAGGTCCTAACTGACTTTTTTGCTAGTGGCTTTCAAACACTCGACAGAGAAATTTTTGAAGTACTAATCCGTGGATGTGGTCTGTTTTTTAAATACTCGTTCTCACTTTGGCAGTTTGTGTGCATCCACCATCTTGTACTAGGCAGTTTGACGTGCTGACATGGTTGGTCAATTTTTTCTATAGGACTTTTCCATCAACGTATGTACTGTGTAGTTTTGAAGAAATAGTTTGTGTTAAGCATGTGCTTCATTCATATAAAATGTTCAGAATTTCTTATTGCTTAGTTTTCAAATCTTTGGTTTGTCTTGTGTGTGATTCCTTCCAGGAAAGGGTCGACATTTACCCCTTCTATTAAAGGCATACTTGTTTTCCTAGCCCCAGGTTAACAGATTTCACTCGGAACTATTGTCCTTCCTTCAAGTTCGTGAGAACCTCGCAGCTCCATCTGCTGTCAGCATGGCAGCCCCGTGCTGGGGCTTCCTTAAAGCAGGAGTAAAACTGGCTTGCTGACCACTGTACCAGACTTTGGAAAGTTATTTTATGCCACTAGTGACTGGTGTAGAGTGCAGTGACATCTGAGTGTGAATAAAGATGGGGTCCCTGACTGCTGGTTGGCTGGGAGGGGGAAGGAATGGATTTGCAATACCTGCCTCAGCACATAATTGAACAAACGATAATTGCAGTTTGCCCATATTTCAGAAAGTGGTGATCTAAACTGGGCAAAGAGCTCTGAGAAGTGAGCCAGCAAGTGTACCGCTAACACAGGTGCCAGTTGTAAAGCAAAGATATCTGTGTAGTCTGCTTGATTAAAAAATGTATATTTGTAGCCCTTTCACGCAATAGAATTCAAGTTTGTTGTTTATTAAAAAGCATAATGTTTTAGGGGAAAACTGCCTTCCTGCATAGAAATATAGAATAGCAACGTTTATGGGTTTATGGATATCAAATAAAAGATTTGAATTCCTTATATGCTTGAGTGAGAGTATATATGATGTGGGGCATGCATTTAAAAAGTACAAAGTTATGTTGACTTCAGGTTTCTAAGCTCTTAGAATGCTAATATTTCATGGGGCTGCATTATAAAAGCTGCTTTTTGCCTTCCTCCAGATATGCAAGATATTAGGCAAATAATTCCCACTGATTCCAGTGCAAAGTTAAATGTGTAGGGCTTGGTCCTTCTGGGCTGAAGAATTTCAAATGAAATTTCAAGGTATTGTTACTATTTGTTATCAGTCTAACTTGATGATTTAAATTGAAATGAGCTTTGTTGTTATTATTAGTGAAACTGCATCACCTTAATTGCCTTTGTGAGCTTAAACAGGGCAACCTCTTGGTATCATCAGGATTTAAACTGAGCTGTTTCCTCCTGATTGTGGTTGGTTGTGGCTCTGATGGAGACTGGCTGTCTTTGGCTTAGCTGAGCTTTTATGAATGAATAGGTTCCAAATAACTTGCTGTTTGCAATTATACTGTAATTTTTCTATCTCAAAAGCCTCTTAGTCACTGTTGGGCACCAGCATCTCTTATACATTATTGTAAGTCGAGTTTCAGAGTTGAGTTTGTAAAACACTGCAAGTGCCAGCTCTTGCCCATGCACAACTTCAGGTGGTTTTATATCACTGAAGGCTTTTTCTGTACCTTTGCACTTTACAACCATGTTGGACAGTCATCCTTGAACTTCATCTGAAGCACAGTTTTCATGTTCTTAGCTGAAATGAGCAGCAGAGTTCTAGGTTGTGTGTTAGTTCTAGTTTGGGGGTATGATTTAGTCCTTTGCAGTGTTGTTGCCTTAACCTTATGAAGGAAGCCTGGCTTGCAGAGAAATGGTTAAATTCACTTTTGTGATGTGTCTTGTCATTTGATTTAGGAAGTTAAAGGTTTGTGCACCAGCTTTATGGGATTTTCATGTTACGTGCTGTGACAGAATATGTTGATACTAGGAACAAGTAGGTTTTAAAAAAAGTGACTTTGTGAAATCTGAGGATTTGAAAAGTGCTGTGCTGCAATGTGCTGTTACCTGTGTGCAATAGTTCTTGTGGGACTAAAGTCTGCTGGGACAAAGAGCTGATCCCAAAAATCACACGTGGATTAGGGAGTGGGCTGCCTAGTGTCACCCTCAGGAGATTGTCACCTGTTTAACCATGTGGCTTGAGTAGGTGGCACCTGCTCTGTGACCCCTGGTGTGTTGGGAATGAGAACGTGTGACCCTGCAGGTGCCATTGGAGAGGATCCTGTGAGGGATCAGGGAAGGGGCAGCAATGCCAGGGTGTACCAGGAATACAGAACAGTGCAGATCTCTATTGGGTGGCATTAAAGACACTGTGACTTCAAGACTCTTGGAATATAAACCTGTTTCTAGGACAGTTCCTACTTAGGAGAGATTTGTTGATAAAACTTTGTTATGTGTTTAAAGATATTTAAAGATTTTTCTGAGCCCTGGGTGGATTTGTCTGCATAGAGGTGCATAGGAAGAACTGATCTGAAATAAGGTGTGTGGCTGGCATGTAAATAAGTTTGTGACTTGACAGTTGCTTCAGGAAGGTCACAAAGATAGAAATAAAGTAACTTTGCTGTTCCTTAGTTTGTAGTTGAGTTCTGAAGTTCCTATCTCTGAAATTATCTCAATAAGTTAATGGCCTTCTGTTCAGGACCAAATGCTCCATTGTGTTGATGTCACCTGTGAGAAATCGAAAATAAGAGCAATTAGTTTGCTTTCAGCATTTAATAAAGTAAAAACGTGGTAGTTTTCTAAAAACACAGATGTCCTTTTATTTTTGTAATCTGCATGACCAAACGGAAATTCCCAAAACCAAACTTTCCAGGCTACAGTGTCACTGAACTCAGTGTGTTGTGATGTACCTACAGTTTTTTAATAGTAATGGATGTTCATGTCTGCTCTAAAATATAATTTGTTCTTGACTTGTAAATTTTATTTGGCTAATAAAACTAGCCTAACTTAAACTTTCATAATCCTGACTTCTACTGCATTAAAAAGAAACATGCTAAACACCTGTACATGGAGTGCAGTGATACTTGCACAAGGCTGTGGAAGTGCCTCCCACGTGTTTGTTGTAACATCAGGTGCTGGAAAGGTGGTTTAGAGCAGTGCTGACAGCTCAGACAGCTTCCATGGCACTAAATCTCTGTGGGTCACTGGTGGAGTGACACTCTTACAAAATAAAAGCTGTGTCTTGTCCTGCAGGCTCCTGTAGTGTAACAATCCTTACCCTCCAGAGCTGGGCAAGCTTTTGTGCTGAATTTACAATAGCTGCAGTCCAGGCTCCGGTTCTGGCTGTGGCAGTCCTGTGCTGCTCCCAGGAGCTCAGCCCTGTGGGGAGGTGGCACTGACAGGAGGTGTGTCTGAACTCTACCAGATACTCTGCACATCTGGACTTAACACCCTGTGAAGCAGGCATACTTAAAATGGCTAAAAATGTTAAGTTCTCAAATGCTTTATGGTGTCCTCCTCCCCCCACCCTCAGAGATCCCTGTAAAGCAAATTTTGCTTTCATTTGGCATTGGAAGGTCTAATAGGATGGTGTAGGTCAGAAAAGAGGTTTATTACCCTGCTCTGCCAGCTGATACTGCCATCCCAGCATGGCATTGCCACTGCTGCCAAAAAGGCTCTGAGTGGTGCTGAGGACCTCAAGCTCCATCTGAGTGTGAAAAGAGAGCAGCTTCCTTTCTCTGCATGCCTCAGAATGTTTATTCTGAAATGAAAAAGTTTGGTTTAAATCATTATATTGTTAATTAATCCCTAAATAAATGGCCTGAAGGACACCCCTCTGATGTGCACACAGTGAACAAAACACGAGGTGTTCTGTGAGAATGGGGTTTTGCTCCTACAGTCTGTCACAGGGTTGGGTTCCTGATAGAAGGCAGTTTATCCAAACCTTTAGATTAGGATTGTTTGACCTGTTGTAGCCACTATGGATTAGTTTATCATGTAATCCAACAGTTTATACCACGTTTATGTGGTTTACATTGTTACAGACCTTTACTTTCTGAGCTGTTTGGAAAAAGGCATTTTCAGTGGCTTCTATATGGGTAATACCTTGGATTAATATTAGGTGATTAAAAGTGTAACACCCAATTTTCAATCTTTCACACTAGCCAGAGGCATACTTTAGAAAACAATGGGTTATTTAACATGTTTTGCATAGCTGATTCTGTGATCTGGTGTATGTGTCCCTTAAAGATGAGTTTTCTGTTTGTTATTTTTGTATTTCTTAATGAATAAAACAGTTGTATCCCTGCTTCACTTGAAAATGTGTTTCACAATGCAAGCACACCACAAGGAGTTCTGAGCTAGCCTGAACAAGCACTATTTGCTTTTGTTGATGGGCATTTTTTTGGTCTCCTGTTGAAGCATTACTGCTCTGTTATTTCTGGAATGTGCATTTATACACACACACACAGATGTTACCTCTACTTCCACTTACCTTTAATGAGTATTTATTTGTGCTGTAATGTAAGCAGTACTATTGATGAGTGTCAGATGTGTATTTCTCATTACAAGATGAAAGTCTTTCTGCTATGTATGTTTTCCTGGGAATTTTGTATATTTACCTGTATATGAGGACTTTTAAGGGGCTGATGAAGTTGGGTGCTTTTCTTGTTGCTGTTCACTTTGACAAATCCTAGTCTTTTTACCTTCTCTGCTCCCAGAAGTCTCACCAATTTCTATTATATATAAATGGGTGGAAATAGTCACTTTTGAACTGATACCTCTTGTTCATATGGCTCTCAGAGTGTTTTAATCCTATAAAATCTATATTCCCCTTAAAAACATCTCTCTGGGAAAATGGGTAGTGAGAACTCAGAAGGAACAACAGCTGTAAAGCTGTAGTTCACTGAAGAAGAGAAACATTCTTCAGATTTTTCTATTTCCTGTATTACCTGCTGAGTAGACTGAACAGTTAAAAAGATGGTACAGTTCAGGTCTAGGCTGTAGCAAAGGGAAAAAACCAGCCAGCTTAAAACCCAAAATCCAAGTTCTGTTCTCTGTGGTTCAGCCTTTGCCAGTAGGAGTCCTAGCCTAAAGCTGCAACAGCATTTTTAAAGTACATTCTGAGTGTGGTTAATCTTGGTGTAACTTCTTTTTGCTAAAAGTCTTTGAGGCAAAGCTGCAATGTTGCCTGTTGTTGTTACAGTAAACTGAGGCTTAGAGCAGAGCTATTCTCAGATTGTCAGCCATCCAAGGAACCAAAGCTCCTTAACTTGGAAAACTAGATGTCAAGCCCAGGCAGACTAATAATGCCATCTGTCTGAGGCATCTGGATATTAACCCTCTTAGCATGATGCTTAGGGTTTCATTCCCAAATGCTTTCGCAGATGGAAAGTACACAGATTTGAAAGAATAGTTCTTCTTTTTTTAAAAAAATTAAATTGGGCTATGTTGAGCTGTGTACAATTTTGGTGCATATTATATTCATCAAACTACTATAAATACCTCTTTTCATGAGTAATGCAGTGAGGAATCTATGCCAATTTAGAAGGGAATTACATTTCTGGTTGGAAATATGTCAAGATGCACATTTGCTCACCACCATCAAAGTACCAATCACTGATTAACATTGCAGAAAAATTCCTTAGAAGCAAAATGAGCTGACAAATGTGAAAGTACATAATTTGTTCAAATGCTACTTTGTACCATGGAATTGCCAACTGGTTTGTCTCAGAGAAGCCCTGTTCTCCTAGGAATGCTCTTTGAGTTTAAAGACATGCAAAGGCACACGTCTGAAAACACACTGTCAGTCTGTAATCTAGTCAATATAAAAGATGAGTACCATGTCAGTCTCTTCTGTCATTTCTGTAATTTTTGTTGCTTTCTGTAGCTTTACAATGGACATTCCCTCTTTTGTAAGAAAATTTGCTTTCTACAGAATCCCGTAGGGAGGGAAGCATGAATGTAGTCACTGCAGGCACTGCCTGGGAAGGAGGAAGTTCTGGAATGCTGAACCTGTTTGCAGCACAGGTGTGGATTAAAGCAGTGCTAGGTAAAATGCCCTGCTTTAAGTAGTTTGGGACTGGAAGTTGATGTGCTTTTTACTTTTTCTCTGTGGATCAATAATCTTGTTTTCTGTACTGCACACTAACCCAGCTGCAGTGGGAAGCCTCCCTCTCCCAACCACACACCCTGATGAACAAATTACAGCAAGGGCAGGGCATGGCCCTGGGGGAGGCTGTGCTTACCTTGTTATTGTATACAAGCACAGCACTATCAGCTGTGTTTTGAAATACTTTACTCCAATTTCATCCTCCAGATCCCCTCCCTCCTCAGAAGGGCTGTCCTCTGGTTTCAGGCTCACTGGCTCTCCCTGGGCTGGGTCACAGCACTGTGAAAGATTGCTGATGCTAAATCCCCAGTTCTCTCCTTGTGCTTATTTAGTACCTTTTCAGGTTTTAGTAATCTTTTAAGTTTACTGGGTAACAAATTTGGCCAAAGTCCTTCACTGTGAGATTTCATTGGAGTTGTTTGTTTTCTTTCCACCACTGTACTAATGATGCTCTGTTTATTGGAAGGGGCTCCTTTGCATCCTGATTGCAAGGTCAGGACTTCTCCCCCAAGATCACTGCTGGATGTTTGGAGTGGTCATTGCTCATGCCTCTAGCACAGGGTGGTTAGCAGCTGCATTCTGCAAGGGTAGTGCCAGCTTTCTCCTGTTACTTTCATGGAGGTTTGTCCTCCTGAAAAAGAGAAACCCCCAGCAGCACAAGGAGCTGCAGCCCTTGCAGTCACTGTGCCTTTTCCCTCTAGGCCCATCCCTCCATTCCTTTCAGCAGTCTTAAATGCAGGCAAATTATTTTTTTCTCAAATGACATCATTTAGATGTTATGGGAATTTTCTTTTACTCACCCAGGACCAGTTAAAACCTCAACTTCCTCTGTGTGGTATCAATTTTACTTTTAAATCTTCGAGGCGTGAGCTTGGTGGTGAATCAGCACCAGTGTGTTTTGGAAATGTTACAGTGGCTTGGGGTGTAGGTGGTGGCAATGGGGAGCTCTTGTTTTTGATATATTGGGGAGTCAGATGAGAGGGAGTTGGGAAACATCATCTTCAGAAGGAAGAGCTGGGCTTGTTTTATTGCTGGAGCTGCTCTGTGCCAAAAGTGTTGCAATGAGCTGATGCCACACACTCTCTAATGCCTTTCTAAAGTGTGGTTTTTTTCTTTCACAGGGTGCACTTCTGTGTGAATGAGAGGATGGGAAAGCTGAGCCCTGAAAAGCACACCACAAAAGTTGAGTAAGTGAAGAGAAACCTGAGCTGAGCCCCTGACATACAGTTCCCACTCTGAATAAACTATGGAATATTGAACAGAAAAAGAGGTTTGTCCAGAAAATACCAGGCAAGATAATGAAGGTCGGTTACCTGTGAGGAAGATATGCTGCCTGAAACAGGTTTTTCTGTTCTGGTACAATAATGTGCCTGCAGAAACAATCCTGTCTAAACTTTTGTGTATGACATCTGTGGGTTTCGCTCATTTGTATTGATGTTGCAGCACATTGTGTTACAATATGAGGGTGGTGGGCTGTGTTTATTGGCTTTTGCAAAGAGCAAGAAATGAAATGTTCTAAAAAATTCCAAGAAGAGAGCAAGACAAATGAGTGTGCAGTGAATAACAGTAACAAGAGACTTGGGTTATGGTGTTGAGATCCTGAATGGGAATATCTTTGTTTATGCTGTTCTCTCTAAGTTATATTATACAAATATTAATTAAGCCATACATCTTTATGAAGCATATGGATAATTTCCCCTTAATACAGAAGGTAATAAGGAAGCATTAAGGGTTGTATTTTAAAGATGAAGAATCACATTAAAATGATATTTTATTAAAAAATGTTGTTAAAAATAATCCCACTTTTTGGTCCATAGCCTAAACTTTTTCTCAAGTTGAGTCTTTTTCTGAAGAAAAAGTTTAAGTTTGTTACTTTTTTTCTGAGCCTGTAGCAAGAACAGTACACTTAGAAGGTGCAGACTCTTAAGGAGGCAGAGAGACTTGGTATTATAGGCAACTGAATACTGGCCTTTGCCTTTGTTCCAGTGCCCACAAGAGTTGATTTCTTCTTCCTGATTTTCTCTTCATTTTGAGTGCTAAATTCTAAACAATAAAATCAATCTGAAAATCTTCCTGCAAATTTCTGATAAATATGTAATGTGACTGCAGGGCAGGAAGTGTGTGCCTCTGACACAGGTGACTGCGGGTGACATCCGTGACTGATGCTCCAGGAAAGAGTCAGGAGGGCAGCAGGAAGAACATTTTCAGCTGGTGGGTAACTGCTGGGTGGGTGAGCAGTGGGATGGCTCAAGCCCCAGGAATCACAGATGTGGGTGAAGATGGTCAGGGGTCGTTGACCTAAAGGTGGTAATGTCATTGTGGAATTTGAATTAACAAATTCCACTATTTGTAGGAATTGTGATTTGCACAAAAGACTAAAGGAAAACAATGTTCTGAAGACAGATTGTGCTGGCCTGCAGGAGCCCGGGAGTGGGATGTGTGCCAGCAGAGGGCAACAGCCCTGAGCGCTGCTGGCCAGGCTGGTGCTGCTGCAGCATCCACCGGAATGCTCGTCCCGGGGAGTGCTGGCATCCATAGGAATGCTCATCCCAGGGGAATGCACATCCCGGGGGGTAATAATGGCATCCACAGGAATGCTCATCCCGGGGGCATGCTGGCATCCAGAGGAATGCACATCCCAGGGAACGCTGGCATCCACAGAAATGCACATCCCAGGGAATGCTGGCCTGGCTGCTCCTGCCCTGCTCTCCCAATCACACACTTCAGAACACAGCCCACCGGTGGGAGTCTCTCACTGCCAGAGCATCCCTGGGTCCAGCCCTGGAAAGGTCCTTACCTAGGAGGTCTCCCGGAGCATCCTGGTGAGAACTTGGATTCCTGTGAGCTGCTGCAGTAGGTAAATTGTAGCTGCTGATTTGGGTTTGTTACTGAATTCTAGCAGCAGCTGGACAGCAGATACCCTCAGGACTCCTCTGCTGAGGCACCTCCATCTCCAGGTCCCTTGGGAGCCAGTCCCCAAGTGACTACACTTAGTGCTACCAAGGCAGCTATTCCAGCAGATACCCTATATATTGCTTTTCTTATATTAATATCCTTAGAGAACCTTTTCCAAGAAAACATATGGTCTAAATACAGATCTATCTGAGTATCTACTTAATTAAGATGACAAAAGAAGTTTATTTAGAAGGGACTCCTGGAGATAATCTGGTTCAAAGAACCCTCAAAACAGGACAGGCTTCAGAGTGAGATCATTTTGGTCAAAGATAAATATATAAACTTAATATATGTATTAAACATAAATACATTTATATATATATTAACATATATTTTTATCTAAATATCTGTATCTCTAAAAAAACAGAACGAAAAATAATTTAGGTTGCGAAGATGTAGCTTTAGAATCTTCTGTAAATGCAGTGTTATATTTACACCTTCCCCAGCTCTTCAATGCTGAAACCTTTTTTGAAGGAAGATTTTTGAAGAAGATTTCTGAAGGAAGTTGATGAATAATTTCAAGGAAGAGATTATGCAACTAAACAAGAGCTGCTAAAGATAGGAATTTCTCGATATAGGTCTCTGAAGCCTGAACATTGGTATATACCTGGAAACAGGTATATGCAGGGGAGTAAAGTGTTCCTGAATTGTTGTTTGCACTGTATTCAGGCTGGATGATCCAGTGATTCACAACTCTTGCAGTCTGCCTTG